AATTCTGTGGACTAAAACTATATGAAATTGTAAGAAAATATTTAAAAATTAGTAGAGAATATTATACATTTTATAGTACATACAAACCACGGTTGTGCGAGATCCAATGTCAGTACTTTAAAATACTATACTTGCTATAATGCTTGTTTAAGCCTACAAGTTGGCCATTGTCAGTCATATCCCATCAGCAATCCTCAGGAATAACAGTCCATTTCTAGAGCCAAAACATGGACATGATACGTGTACAATAAACCTCAATTCAAGCTTCCCATTCGGATACATGCCACCTGATGCTGTGGTGATCATTTCTTGGATTGATTCAATTGATCTACTATAGCGTGAACTCCCCCGGACATGTAAAACAGTCTGGCGAGCTATTGTGTATAAAGACTCCAATAGTATTCTACGTACAAACAGCATGTGATAATTATTGATTATCTTCTCTGTAATGTTGCCACAATTAATGATATATAACCCATTAACAGGTAACTAAATGTAACGTTTGGAAACAATCTCACATCGATCATAACCAAATTAGATACACTGACTACTTAATTATATATAACTTACAATCATATACCTGTGTATGTAAATAAAATGTAGTAAGTGTGTGTTTTTTAAAGAATGTCACCTACAATAAACAATAACCCGCAGACAGTGTATCCCTTTTATCTGAGCCCTAATTACATTGTGCAGTATATATACATGTACAAATGCCCTGCTTATAATATTCTGCCTGTGGCTTATCAATTGCAATTCAATTAGGATGAATAAACAACGACAGTACCTTGAGGCAGAACAATATACGCCCGTCAAATGCCATATATAGTGTTATATACTTTCTTACATTGAAAAAAGATCTGCATCATTTTAAGAGTGGTTAGCTGACATGCTATAAATAAAATACTGAAATGAACAAAGGGCAATAACTTTTGCAAAAATCGTCAAATCAAAATTCTTTTAAGGGAGACACAACTTCATATCATGATTATAATGTAAACCAAGTTTCAAAGAGTTCAGTCGAAAAATGTAGGAGGAGATTGCCGGACAAAAATCAAATACTGAAATAAACAAAGGGCAATAGCTTTTGGAAAAATTGTTGAATCAAAGTTCATTTTAAAGGGAGACAACTTCATATCATGATTATAATGTATACCAAGTTTCAAAGAGATCGGTCAAAAAATGTAGGAGGAGTTTGTCGGGCAAACCAAAGTTTACGCCGGACGGATGGACGGACAACCCCATACCATAAATTAATACTTCCGTCAAACTTGAAGGGCATATAAAAACCTGTTAACCAACTGGTACAACGTTTAAGTCTCGTCCCTAGACTGTGTTAGGGTTTTTTATTTACTATCTCCAGCTCCACAGGATCCTGATTATGGAACTGAGGTCAACGATAAACAAAAATTTATGCGGTTCAAATGACCAGCAGATTAAAAAGTTGAAACCTTGAATTGGTTAAGATCTTATTTAATTGCACAGATTTCATTTAAAATTCCAGCCCACAGGCAGATTTTGTTTTCATAGCAAATATTGAAAATTTCGCTAGACATAAAATGTTTATAATTAGCTCGATTCAATGTCAAGATATTTTTTAAGGCACTGCCTACATGTAGCTAGGGCAACTAGACCAAAATCTATGTACATGAGTTGAATTTCTACTTTCCCCACATTTTCCCCTAGTTATGTAGTATGCATATATACCAAGAATAGACCTGCCAGTTCCAAATTACTGCATGTTATCATAAATCTATCAGAGGCTTAACACAGAAACTTGGAATGGACAAATGAATAATTAACTCAGTCACCCCTGAAGACACATTTGAATTCTTCCAATTGAAAGGTACGATTAGTCCATTATAAAATTTCAGGGGTTAAATTGTGAGTTAAAGTCATCAAAATGGCAAAGGCAAATCGGTTCAAGTCAATAAATGTATCGTTCATTAAAGTCAGAGTTCAATATAAACTAGATTCAATTTGAAGTGACGGCTTCACAGATACCCCCTCCCAACATATAATAATTATCAACATTGTTTGGAGTGGACCGAAGCACATTCATGAAACAGTGGCCCATATATGGTCAATACGTTATATGCTGCAGAAACCTGAATTACACTTCATAAAGTACTTGAGGTCAAGGTCAAATTGAGGTCACAGCAGCTGCAATATGCTCCAGAGACACATAGACAAACCAATGACATCGTTGAAACTTATAGCAAATTAATATAAAGATCATGGTAGTCATGCTTGTATTTTACATGAAATGTCCAAATGATGCATTCATTCATTTTTATACTTTTGAAATTAATTGTGGTGTAATAGTGTCGATGGACCTGAAGTCTAAAATGAAATGTGTATTTTAAATTTAAAGTCAAGTATGTATATACATATGACTATCTATATATAGCTAGTATAGAACACAGGTTGACATCGTATACATTTATTCTAAAAACTAATACATCTGTAATAGTTAATTATAACAGGTGCCATTTTCTGATGAAGCTATATAAATTATATGAATGCATGGATATATACAGGCCTTTCTTAAATATGGCTGGTTATATTTATATGGGCCAGTTCCCATCTTGAATTTCAGCATTATTTTCCCCTATTTCAGTTTTATTTCCCCCTGTTTCAGTTAAACATCCCCAAACTTGTAACTGAAATACAAATGTACTACCACATGAATAATTGTCTTGGTTCTATTTTTTTTATTTTTTTCCGTCAGTTCGACAACCGAGTGAGTATCACATTGTAAGATTGAAGTCATTCTTCCAATCGGATATTTATAACTTTAATAGAATATATTAAGACAAATATTCACAGCCCTTGCAGGGCAAACCTGGTTAAGGCGAAACCCTGGATGAAGTACATTTCGGGTGAAACACCCTATTATAAGAGTAAATAATACATGTGTGTGAAAAGACCTGGGTTCTTTCCAATCTATTGGGAAGTAGTGTAGTGCAAGTTTGTCATTGTCACCTCTATATATATAGCTCTACTACCTACACCTAACCAGAGACGCATCCCAGTTCCCTATATATATATATCTGTATCTGTATAAATACATGGACTCCTTCTGATAAAAGATAGCTGTCCACGGGATGTGCGCTCAGTCAAGGCACAAAGTTCTTTTGAAAGTGGTCAACTTATCAGCCGAAACAAGACCCGGGTCTAAACTGTTCCAATCCTTGACTGTCCTTGGAAAAAAACTATTTTTAAAAAGGTCCGAATTTGCAGGTATGATTTGGTAAGTTTTGGTATGCTTTTGGCAAGTTCTTTGTGAATTTGGAGTTAAATAATCGTCCGGAGGTATTGCCACCAAGCCTGAAATAATTTTGTAAAACAACACTAGCCGATGTTCCCTGCGTCTTTCTGCTAGTGGTTTGAGTCCTAAATTTGCTAACATTTTAGTTACACTTGATTTCCGTCCATAGTTGTTGTATATAAATCTGGCTGCATGTCGTTGAACCGATTCAATGGTATCTGTCTCTTTCTGGTTCGCTGGATCCCAGACTGTGTCACTGTATTCTAAAACCGAACAAATTAGTGCGATGTAAGCTGTTTTCTTTAGGGATTCAGGGCTGTGTTTAAGGTTGCAGCGAAGAAATCCGAGGGTGGAATTAGCTTTTCTGGCAGTTTTGTTGATATGGGTGCTGAATTTCAAATCTTCACTAAAAGTAAGGCCTAAATAGGGACTGTCCGAAACTTGCTGTAGAATTTGGTTGTTTAACGAGTAAAAGTGTTCATGTTGTTGTTTAGACCGACTCACTCTCATTACATGCGTTTTTTAACATTAAAACGCATTCCCCATGTTGATGCCCACAGCTGCAATGCATCCAGATAACGTTGTAGTTCGATTTGGTCCTGCTGGTTCCGGATCCGTCTGTAAAGCAGACAAACATCTGCAAACAGACGGATTGTTGAATGCACGACTGATGTTATATGTCGTTGATAAAACAGAGGAACATCATCGGCCCGAGGACCGTTCCTTGTGGAACACCGGATATGACTTTGGCCTCAGATGACTGTTCCCCTTCCACTACTACTCGTTGTTTCCTACCTTCTAGAAATGAATGGAGCCAGTTGTGTAGTTTTCCAGTGATTCCGAAATGTTCTAATTTGTGAAGTAATTTCCTATGAGGTACAGTGTCAAAAGCCTTACTAAAGTCTAAAATAATGATGTCCGTCTGAATTTTGTCGTCAAAGTTATATGTACTGGTTTCAAAAATTAAAAAAAAATAAAATAAAAACTTAAACTTAAACATAACCTCCTCATATATAGGAGAAATGTTATCGCTGGGACTTCCCATAAGACGTCGTTCTGTGGACCACGACAATCATATTCCAGGGATTTGTCCGGCTGTAATAATCTTGTACCTGCTGACAGGACGAGGACTTTTGAATTTACAAAAGGTAATGGCTACTTACCCCCTTGCGTCAACTAAAACACAGACCTAAGTCAGTGAAAAGACGAAATAAAACACCTAACCAACCAACCATCTTCCCTAACAGACAGTAAAACAAAACATCTATTTTTTTATATTATCGTTCCAGTTGCATGACCTCGCCATCGGGTTACATGTGTAAATGTTACGAATCAGTGTTACATCAAGAAGGGGGTCTGTTGTAATTTCACACATGGATGACTTCACACAGACAGAGCAAACCGGACATAAAATGAAAATCGGAAATCATCCTAGGACGACAAATTGGCCTATACTAATCTGCAAATGATCATGTGAATGTCTCTTGATTATGTGTCTAATGAACGCACTGTAGTACTTTTTTAACCGAACGGAAATAATACAACATTCTTTTATTCATAAAATGTATTCTTTTACTGATACGAGCGTTAAACGATACATCTGTCATCGTCACAACTTCTTGTGATTTGTTGTTCCTCGCGACGATTCGCCCCGGTCATTCATGTGGCAAACAATAACTCGTCAGTTTTTCAGGGAATACTCAGAAAATATGTATGAAAATTGACCTACCTGCGTGAGTTATAGTGGTGTTATCTCATCCCCATTTTGATAACATTAACATGTTCACACATTTGCCTTCACAAAAAAACACGTCGACTCGACAAGATATCCAAGAACTGGCGTCAAGCTGGACTGGACCGCAGTAACTTGACTGAACCACAATATTTCCACTTCCGGTTATCTTATCGTTCATTCTTGCCTGGTGTTTATATTGTTTCAACCTTTTTTTCATTACTAGTCTACCCATTTGGAATTCATATAACATTTTAAATTACACTCGTTATCCCTCCAAATATCCATATCGTCCCCAAAGCTGATTCCCCTCAAAACTGTATCGTCCGATATACGGTATAGGGGAGGTAGCTCTTGTAGTTTATTGCGATACCATGGTTAACAGCTATGCTGGGCGGTGGATATGATGTCTGCTATGGTTTCTTTGATCTCCTCAAGACTCAATTGTCATTCTCTTTATACCTCCAATAGGAAGATTACATAAACAGAATAGTTACATTAAAGAACCAATCAACTTATATAATTGGAATAGTAGAACACATAAGTACTATCGTTATTATGATGTGAAGTTAACGTTAACGCTACAGAAATATTTTATAAGAGATTAAAAGTTCAAAAGTTAAAGTTAGTTTCCAATACAGGAGCCGATAGAGCTCCTCTACACTGGACTCAAAAAATAAACAATTTTTATTTTTAAAGTTAGAGTTCATTGTTTATTACATTTGCCCTATACTTATAATAAAGTTCTTGACATCTATTCTGTTCTTAGTGTTTGTTCCAGGTTTTGACTAAATAGTTTCTCCTCAGGGATGTTGTTGACTAATATAGGAATATTTTGTTCGAGTTTCCTCTTGTACTATTTTTGACTGATTCCTCACTCCTAAGCTTAACAAAAGTACGTGTCTCTTTATCGTAAATTCTGTTTAAAATTTTGTACATTTCAATCATGTCCACTTGAAGTCCTTAACGTCTTTCTGGATATTCTAAGCCCTAAAGTGCGAACATCGTAGTTGATCCCAATAGGAATATACCAGGAAGCTGCGATCGTGCTTTCGATATTCCGTTGTCTCTTTCTTGTGTAGATAATATTTAAAGTGCTACAAACATGTAAAAATTAAACTGATTTTGTTTTTACAATTTTAATGATGAGATGAGTTCCTATTGAGGAGGCAAACGATGAGGTGTATGCGGGTGTCCAAATACACATGCGGTACATGATTCGTTGATCTAGTGACTGTATATAATTATGATACTTTTTATTATTCAATTGATCTCTAAAAAATATGATGAACCCCTACATACAACACAAAGCAATAGATTAAAATAGAGGTAAATTAACGTAAGTGCACCCCACCCGGCCTTTCTTTACAAATATGGAGACATAGGATTGGAATTGACAACAACCGGTACAATAATTTATACTCAAAATGAGCAGCAAACCTGTGTATTTTTACCCCGCAGTTGTAAAAACTTGAATATCTTTTTTTATTGAGTTTATGCAATCCAGAGAATTAAGCACATGATAAAGTTGCAGAGGGAGAACCTGTCCGATTAATGTTACTCTTTGACAGTACTTGCGCATTTTATTTTTCCCGTTATTTAGCCCAAAGACATTGTTGTTTAATGGAAAATTGGAAGACACCAATCTACATAATAACTTTAGGTACCCCTTGCCCACCTGCTAACATCCCTTTGACATTTTCCTACGCGATGGGCAGAGGCAGCTATCGTGCCTTTATATAAATAGGTGATAAAAATGACCTCAATAATTATCGGGGTTACCGGTATAAGTCTATTAAGCTGTCTTAGGAAACTTTTTACTGGTACAGTGAACAATCGATTGCTATCATGGGCTAACACAAATGAAATTATTTCTGATGCACAATTTGGATTTAGATCTGGTTATGGAACTACAGACGCAATTTTTGCTTTACATTCTTACATTAATAAGACATTCTCACAAAATAAAAGACTATATTGCTGCTTCGTCGACTACAAGAAAGCTTTCGATACTGTTAATCGATCTAATTTATGGCTCAAACTGTCAGAATGTGGTATTAGAGGTAATTTGTTATCAATTATTTTTTCATTGTATAAATGTGCAAAATCGTGTGTCAAATTAGATGAATTTTATTCTGAACTTTTCACTAATGAGATTGGATTAATTCAAGGTGAATGTTTATCACCGAAAATGTTTTCAATATATGTGAACGATTGTGAGATGGAGTTTATACAAGAAGGTAACATGCCATACGAGTTCAAAACTTGAAGCCTTTTTCTACTTATGTATGCCTATGACATGGCGCTGATATCAGAATCAGTGGAGGGACTTCAAAAGTCACTTGACACATAATTATTGTTCTCTGAAAATGGAAGCTAACTGTTTGGAAGCTAACTGTTAATATTCAGAAGACTAAAATTGTTGTTTTTTGAAAGGCTGGGAAGGCTCGAGATCAAATATAGAAGTTGTTGACGAATTTAATTATCTAGGATTATTATTCAACTATAACGGAAAATTTACTAAGACGCAGCATAAGCTGTCTGAGCAAGGTCGAAAAGCAATGTTTGCACTAAACTCAAAGACACGGAAGTTTGATTTTAATGTACGAACTATGCTATCATTATTCAGAACTTATGTGAGCCCAATTCTCAATTATGCAAACGAGATCTGGGGATTTTATTGTGCCAGTGATATTGAAAAAGTACAAATGCATTTTTTAAAGGAAATGTTAGGGATGAAGGAAGTAAAGCTAATAACATGATTTATGAGGAATTAGGAGTATATCCTCTGACAGGGATGTGTAGTCCACGACATGGATGTGTAGTGGAGATGTGTAGTCCACTACACATCCCTGCCTCTGATTACAATAAGAAAGTTGAGAGTGTTCAAATTTTGGTTGAAATTAGTACTTAGTCAGAATTGTATTTTGACTGAAATATATAATGATCTTATGGAAAGGTTAAATGTTAGTGATAAATATAACTGGTTGAGAGATATTAAAAATGAACTGTATACTATTGGACTGGGTTATATCTGGGACACCCAGGTGACAATAAATGTAAAACAGGCTTTGCATATTATAACACAAAGACTTTTTGATTGTTGTGTACAATAAATAAGGAGTCATATAGTTGAATCGACCAAATGTAGTATGTATAGACACCTAATATGTGCACAAAGTTTTGATATGAAAATTTATCTCAGGAAACCTATCCAATTCAAGTACAGACAAGTCATTACGAAACTCAGAATGTCCAGTCACCAGTTAGAAATTGAGCAAGGTAGATGTATAAATGTACCAAGGAACTTAAGAATCATTAAATTATGCAATTTAGATATTGAGGACGAATACCACTTTGTGCTTAAATGTCCATCTTTTCAGATACAGTACTTAGACATATTCACATGAAAAAATAGTAGTGGTCAAAACCCAGCATGTTTAAATTCATCAGTCTTATGAACTCTAGCAATACATCTGAATTATGCATATGGAAAGTTTCTGCACAAATCATTTCTGTTGAGAGAATCTGAATCTAAATGTATGAACCAACAACAATACGTTTTCCTTCAATACATTATTTTTTACTAGTTTTTCTTTAACTAGTATATCATTTAAGATGTATACATTCATTCAAATACATGTCACTTATTTTATAACTAGTATATCATTCATTCAAATTACATGCCACTTATTTGTTTACACATGCAAACTGCCGCCCTGGTAAGCATGTATTGTATATGTATGGATTGTAGTAATATACTGTACCTAAAAGTTGTAAACTTTTGGAAAATAAAAATGAGCAATGATGTCATACCTGGACACAGGTACAGTATATATATAGGTGTGTCTAGGACCTCCTGCTGTCAGTGTCCAGTGCGGACACATGTATGTTTAGTGTTATTTACCTGTACACAAATTTCACACATAAGTAGGCTAAGGGAGTGGATCGAGATGATAATTTGTGTTTCAATTGTGTATTATATCACGGAATTAGCTATCTTAGTCCGTGATCACAAGTACGTTTATATATTGAGAAAAAAATATTTTGAATATCATAATTATATTTTGGTCGCGTCTAAATACCCAATACTACCCCATACGACCCAGATATGTACCCAATACTACTTTAATACTGTGAATTATCATATTTAGAGATATTTATTTTACTTCTATCTGCCATATTTTGTCGGAAAATATGCGATTTCGTGCAGAAAACATCACCGAAATGCCGTGACTGTGACCCAATACTACCCCATACGACCCAGTTATGTATCCAATACTACTTTCATACTGTGAAATATCAACTTTGTAGAAGTTATTTACTTCTATCTGCCATATTTTATCGGAAAATATGCAATTTGGTGCAGAAAACAGTCAGTTCGACCACGGACTTAGATTCGACACGGTGACATATCACCTAAGAAATAATTTATTTTCTATCTGTCGTACTTCGTCAGAGAATATGCGATTTATGCAAAATATTTGACCAATATGCTAGGTAATTTTCTTTCAATCTGCCGTATTTTGTAAACAAAAATATGCCACTTGGTGCATAATACCTGACCTACCCAATAGTCTTCCATCCAGTATTAAGTCCCAATAATAAAGATATTAAACATTTATATAACGCCCTATATAATTTGTAAAATTACTCTAAAGCATTACAACATAAGGGTAATAGTATTAGTTATAATTGCTAAACGAAAAAGGCTTAAAGGTGATAAAACCAATACTACCAGCACAGGCAGGGATCACTTTCCTGTTTCTTTTCCCGAGGCGTCTCCATGTCCATGATTAATCATATATTTGTTTAGTCCCCAGATATATTGTGCTTGTACTGCTACACAAATTGAAGATTAGTATCATCACGAACTTGGTATAATCCCGTGGTATCATTTTATTCCTGAATGTAACATATACACCACCACGGAATTAGATTAGTCCGTGATAACACTTTAGTAAAAAATGTAGTAAGAAATATAACTTGACTAATTATTTTGTCTTTAAGCTAATTCAATTACTTAGAGTAGAAAATATTACCTTTGAAGTAATGAATTAAGAAGAAATATCTAAAACAACTGTTTCAAGTAATTCAACAGAATCTCTTTCTCTACATTTACTACAATGCCATGCTATAATATTTTTTTTGACTAATGGGACATAAGGCCAAAA